ATTGCGGGATAAAACTTACCAGGAAAGGTTAAAGGATCTTAACATGTATAGCTTGGAGGAAAGACGAGACAGGGGGCATATGATAGAAACATTTAAATATATAAAGGAAATCAACACAGTAAAGGAGGAGACTATATTTAAAAGAAGAAAAACTACCACAACAAGAGGACATAGTCTTAAATTAGAGGGACAAAGGTTTAGAAATAATATCAGGAAGTATTACTTTACTGAGAGGGTAGTGGATGCATGGAATAGCCTTCCAGCTGAAGTGGTAGAGGTTAACACAGTAAAGGAGTTTAAGCATGCGTGGGATAAGGCTATCCTAACTATAAGATAAGACTGGGGACTAATGAAAGTATTTAGAAAATTGGGCAGACTAGATGGATCGAATGGTACTTATCTGCCGTCACATTCTATGTTTCTATGTTTCTATATTATTTATTCTGTTAGACCTGAGATTCAATCTTGGTATCCATATTAATCTTGAAGTTTCATTAGTCCCCTAACAGGTATGTTAATAACCCTGGCTATCAGTACCATTGCAATATTGTATGTCATTAGCCTACATTTATTCTAGTATCATATACTAATATATTTAATTTGGGGTGCAATTCATTAATCAGCCTCCTTACACTAGGTTCAAATGACTAAAAGGTATGTTTCAAATTTGACTTGTTCAATTCAACCCAACTACCTACTTTATAATTAGTCATGGTCAAGTTCTTTACTGGCTGTAGGGTAATGTTAGAATCCCAATAGTAAAGGTTTCTAAGCCTTCCATGCCTTAGCTTAGAGGTCCCAAAAGGACAACACCCATCCTCATACTTTGCCCCTCGGCCAACATCATAGCTAGCGACTCGCAAGATTTTATAGCTAGGGCCTCACTGCTGCCTGTTCGTGAATTGTTGTATTATATTCTGTGTGTTTCCCCATTATTTCCGTATAAATGTGTCTGCTCCCCGTTCGGGAGGTCTTACATGGAAAGGAATGCATTCACCTCCCCAACGGGGACCACCCCGACAACTCATTTAGAATGTTGGGTTAGAACGCTCGTACCTCGTAACAAGGTGTCAAAATCACAAACCGCAACGGAAGCCTCGGCGTGTGCCTCCCCTGGGTGGCAGCCTGTTCGCTAGACGAACGCCATCCAGGGGGAGCCTTCATAGATTGCTTCCCACCTCATTCGGTTCTTGAACGAGGACCATCCCAGTGCCCCTTGGAGTGTTCACACCAAACAGTTAGAATGTTAACAACTTACAACATAAGTGTGATACTGTAAGGGAAGCAATTAATGAGTGCTTTCCTGGGTGGTCGCTGTTCTTATAGACAAGTGGAGGCTAGGGGGAGCATTTGTGTTCTGAACGGATAAGAGGGAGTCAAAGAGGTGGAAAGCTTTCCCGCTCTGGAACTGCCAGGTACATGGGCTCATGAGATGAAGACCCCCTCTTCACCGGAGGTGGAAAACCCTGAGGATGGGTGGTGGGAACAGGGGACAAGTGACTGGAGTTCTGTTTCCGTCAGGAGACCCTTGGGTGGGGAGGACCCTGGGAGAGGGCACAGAGTGGCGCAAACAAGGGACAAAGGTACTGGAGTTCCAGTACAGTTATACGACCCCTGGGAGGGGACTTTGTCTTTATGTGTGATCCACCCCTTGCATGGGGAAAATATAAAGCAGAGTGTGACCAATAAAGTTGTTGTGTTGTACCTCCAGGACTGTGTGTCATCCGGTTACTGGATGGGAAATGGGAGAAAGCGGAGAAACGATAAACAAGCCAAAGTCAGTAACAAGAAATTCAAATATAATATAAAGCGCACTCTTAGGTTAACAAAATCCACAGCAGGGCAACTTGCTACTGAAAGGCCCTGGCCCTGACCAATTCCATTGGTCTGCATCACTGTAGAGCGCCTAAACACCCAAATTTGTCCGAAAGCTGAATTAGGAAGTTTAAGTTCATGAAAACGGTTCAGAAGTTTGAGTTGCGCTGTTATGACGTCTGCGCGACTCTGTACACATAGACGCACACGCAGAGCATGCAGCGTCTGATCTGAACGGGTAAGTATGACACCCAGGTCCTGTGACTGCAAAACAAGCCCAAATCATCATACCCTTGACAGTTGGTATCAGGTGTCTGTGCTTATATGCTGTGTTTGGTTTTTGCCAAATGTGGTGCTGTGGATTATGGCCAAGCATCTCCACTATGTTCTCATCTATCCAAAGGATATTGTGTGAGAGGTCTTGTGGTTTGCTCAGATCCAACTTTGCAAACCTCAGCTGTGCTGCCATGTTAATTTTAGAGTGAAGGGGCTTCATCCTGCCATGCTGATGATCAATTAACCAAGTGCATTTGATTAGCAGCACCTGTTTGCTACTTAGACTCTTAATTCCTATGGATGCAGTAAGGGTGTACTTTGTTTTTCACACAAGGCTTCTCCCTTTTAGCTTTATTTTTGTTAAATAAATCATGACACAGTGTAATATGTCATGCATTGTTGTTAATCTGAGTTTGCACTTACCTGCTAAGGATCGGATGATTGTTATTATGTCTTGATATGTAAAACCATAGAATTCAAAGAGGGTTTACTTTTTCCCATCACTGTATACATAATATATTTAATAGTCTTGTACAAAGGAAAATTATTTTTTTTTTCAGTAGCAAAAAATAGGGTCAGAAGAGTTTAGTTTATGCCAATATTTAGGTACCGAAAAAAATTCAGCAAAGCAATGTGGGCAGCCAAAACAACAAGAAAAATTGTAACTATGTCTTTGCTTATATATTAGATGCTGTCTGGCTTAATATCTACACAATATCAGGCATTTTTGCTATGACAATTAAGTAATTTCCATCTTTTTTATTTAATGCACCAACACATAACATATTCCAATTTTTAAAGGGAAAGGGGGTTTTAATTTATGTAACATATAAATATAAAAATATAATATATCATACATTAACTTAAAAAAAACAAAAAAAAACAAGCTTTCAACAACTACATATTGGTAACCTAGTCTTATACTAGGATCAGTAACAATCTCCTTTTTCTTTTCAAAAGTAGTTCCAAGCGAACCAGGCAATAGCTATAAAGATAGATACAGCAGCAAGCTAAACCTAGTCTCACATTAGAATCAATGAATGACCCATGCTGGGAAAGATGAACTTTTTATCTTTTTTCACCACATTCCTCAAAAAAGTATTTATTTCTCCAAACAGTTAACAAACAAAATAAAATTGTTTAAAATACTGTATACTGGTAAACACAGTCTCACAATACACACTAGAATTAATGACAATCTAGCACTCTCCTACCTCCCACTCAAAGTTGTTTCAATTGCCCCTGACAGTAGTCAGCTACATACATACATCAGAAAGTTAAACCTAGTCTCCTGCTAGAATCAATGGCCTCTCCCACTTATACACAGACAGACCAAAGGTTGGAACACTACCCCTGCTGGTCTGTTTCCCTCCGTATCTTCAGTCACAGTGTCTGAAAAATTATTCACTCTTTTGGTCAGTTGCCAGTTGGTCTGTGAATAAAATCAACAATTAGTGGCTGTTCTTTAACCATCAATCATCTTTTTGTTTTTTGCTACATCTTGATTGGACAGAAGATCACACCAACAGGATTAGGCAGACCATCATGGGGAACTAAGCTGTTTATTTACCCCCACCAAAAAATGAAAATCAAAAACAGCCTCTTCTCCATCCCATCCCCTATTTTTCTGGTGCCTGGAATGGCACTGCAAATTGAAAACTAAATTGACCATGTTAAGACTTGCGCATGTAGTTTTCCCTAAAATTCTTGTCTGTGGTGGCTTGAAAATTAGAATTTCAGCTGATCACCAAATCGTCCCGAATTTGGCCAATTGCAGGTTCTGCCCGAAAGTCCAACGTTTAATAAATATATTAAAATGTAATAATATAAAAAATGTTTGCTGCTCCTCCTGTTTGTCTCTTTATTGCTTATTTTTTTCTCACTTGATTTGCGTAACAAATGACAGTAAAATACTCTTATCAGTGTACTGCAAAATATATACTTAATATTTTATGGCCCATTTTTGCACTAATTTGTTTTTTCTGATTCGTTTCTGAATCAAGATTTTGATACCAAAATTCTGGCAAGCAAACCAACATTTATGCTTAAAAATCAGCAGTCACAAAAATTGTCTATTTTATGGAAAATGGTTCAGCCAAACGGAATTTTCTTGCCATGCCAAAAGCTACTAGTTATGATTAGCTGTCATATGCGGAAAAAGAATAAGGAATGGAATATAGTAATAAAATCTGAAGGGTATCAGCTACAACTCACAGATGAGGTCCAAAGAAGGCCAAAAATGATCATCTGGGGTTGCTATATTTCCAGTTCAGAAGGAACATGCTGGCATTTCTGGACTGCACGTCTGGGTGGGACCAGTCTGATTTGCTTAAGATATGTTCTCTCTTTAATGGTAGAAGTGAGCAAAAATTATTTTGAGACCTGAGCGGGTATTTACCAAAAGGCAAGCTACTCGGTTTCTTTAAGCTTTTGTCCGTTCTCAGAGTTCTCATATTGTTTGCTATTTTGTAAATCACTGGACAGCAAGAACTGTATTGAAATGGTATTTTGTGTTTGTTTGTTCTTTGTATTGTGGCTCGAGCTATCTCTATAATATATGTGTACTGTAGTCACAACATAAGCTTTTATTTGTTAATAGAGTTGAGCGGACACCTGGATGTTAGAGTCTGGAGGGTTCGGCTGAACTTTGAAAAAAAGTCCGGGTTCGGGCTCGAACTTGACCCCAAACCTGAACCCCATTGAAGTCAATGGGGACCCGAACTTTTGGTCACAGAAATGCCTCTAAAAAACTCCTGGAAAGAGCTAGAGAGCTGCAAAAGCAAGTAAAATGTGGGTAAGAGTAGGACAAGTGGATAGGGAAATCACTTAAAATAACATAAAAATTAAAAATACAGCTGAGCCATAAAATAGCACTAGATGGAATCTTTGAATTTAGCTTTGGAAGAACATAAAGCAAAATCTAAAGCATGGCTGTCAGGAGGATCAACATAATTATCCATTTGAGAGAGGGTTGGAGTGCAGGGTATTCTCTTTCATTGTTCAAACTATATATATTTTAATTGGGGTAGCCCCCAAAATATTGGGACATATAAAAAAAACACAACTCTGTTCCGCAGAGTAGCTGTTGACATTATAGTTGCGCAGGAACTTTGTTGACTCTAGAGAACCTCGGGCAAATCACACATCCCCGTGGCGGCGACTTTGCATGCAGATGTCATCCATATCAACTTTCGATCTAAGTTTCTGCGCCTACCATGGTGACCACGGGTAACGGGGAATCAGCATTCCATTCCGTACAGGGTCCCTGGGAAATGGTTACCACATGCAAGGAAGGCAGCAGGCGTGCAAATGACCCACTCCCGACGCGGGAAGGTAGTGACGACAAATAACAATACAGAACTCTTTAGAGGCCCTGTAATTGTAATGAGTCCACTTAAAATCATTTAACTCTGATCAATTGGAGGGAAGTCTGGTGCAGAGCCACTGACCTGTGCTGAAACTCCACTATCGCCTGCTGCTGCTCGCACAGTCTCATGAGGCGGTGAGCGGGAAGGCCGAAGTTACGCTGCAGCGCCGACAGGCGAGCAGCAGCAGGGTGACAACGTAAAAAGCGCGCACAGCTGCTACAGTGAATGTCACATCCTGTTCCAAGTTGCGGATCAGTCTGGTGATGGCTTCTGGTATCCAGTACTCTTTTTACTGAAGCTGCATCAGGGTCCTGGTATGTGGCCGCACAAACTCTGGTGCTCAACACCAGGGAGCGAGCGGTTACTCTGCACCAGACCCTGCTAATCCATTCCACACTGTGACTCCTAACGTCAACATCGGGCATACTTGGTCACCGGACTGCCCACCTCACTGTGAAACTACGAATGGATCGTTAAATCTGGTACGAACCCGAACTTTGCAGTTCGGGTTCGCTCAACTCCATTATGGATCCTTTGATCGCTACATGTATTACTTGGATAACTGGTAATTCTCGAGCTAATACATGCTGACGAGCGCTAGGAGATGGCTTTTGCACCCTGCTCCCTCTTATGCTGTGCTGGTGCCTTTGTGCGACCAGCGCCTCTTCCTCCAAACTGCACACGTCACTCACATGACCTTGATTCCATGTGGGGTCTTGGACCTCATCATCCTTCACATCATCTTCCACCCACTCCTCAACCCTTCCCTCCTTGCCGGTATGCACACTGCAGAAAGCCACAGCAGTTGGCACCTGTGTTTTTCCAGCATGTAAAGTCTGCAAAGGACATATGGAAATTGTATTAGAATTGTATCCAGGCAACAGTTTTCCCTATAAACGGACATCTCAGTTTGACTTGTGAGGGTATTGCCCCAGAATTACAATATTGTTGAAGTACTTATTAGCTATTGATCGCTGGTTTAAATATACCAGCTTGTTATCTGGTAGTTTCTAGTGTAGAAAATATCAATCTGTTTTCTATCACTTAGATCTGTGTAACAACTGTTGTAGGTGTGAAACAATATTACAAGTGATGGATGAAGTAAATTCGAATAAAAGTTACGCTTCTATTTGACTCTCAGATATGAAGAGCAGGCCCCAAAATGTACTATTTAGCAGATTAACAGCAAAACAATTAGAATGTTTACCAGTGCGCTGTAAGCAAACTATTAGACGCTTCTATTTGACTCTCAGATATGAAGTGCATGCCCCAAAATGTACTATTTAGCAGTTCAGCACCAAAACAATTAGAATGTTTACAAGTGCGCTGTAAGCACACTATTAGACTCTTCGATTTGACTCTCAGAAATGAACAGCAGGCCACAAAATGTACTATTTAGCAGATTAACATCCAGGAAATAATAATGTTTACCAGTGCGCTGTAAGCACACTATTAGACGCCTCTATTTGACTCTCAGATATGAAGTGCATGCCCCAAAATGTACTATTTAGCAGTTCAGCACCAAAACAATTAGAATGTTTACAAGTGCGCTGTAAGCACACTATTAGACTCTTCGATTTGACTCTCAGAAATGAACAGCAGGCCACAAAATGTACTATTTAGCAGATTAACATCCAGGAAATAATAATGTTTACCAGTGCGCTGTAAGCACACTATTAGACGCCTCTATTTGACTCTCAGATATGAAGTGCATGCCCCAAAATGTACTATTTAGCAGTTCAGCACCAAAACAATTAGAATGTTTACAAGTGCGCTGTAAGCACACTATTAGACTCTTCGATTTGACTCTCAGAAATGAACAGCAGGCCACAAAATGTACTATTTAGCAGATTAGCACACATCATCTTCCACCCACTCCTCAACCCTGCTCGCTTTGCCGGTATGCACACTTCAGAAAGCCACAGCAGTTGGCACCTGTATTTTTCCAGCATGTAAAGTCTGCAAAGGACATATGGAAATTGTTTTAGAATTTCCTCCAGGCAACAGTTTTCCCTATAAACTGACCTCTCAGTTTAACTTGTGAGGGTATTGCCCCAGAATTACAATATTGTTAAAGTACCTCTTAGCTATTGATCACTGGTTTAAATATAGCAGCTTGTTATCTGGTAGTTTCTAGTGTAGAAAATATCAATCTGTTTTCTATCACTTAGATCTGTGTAACAAGTGTTGTAGGTGTGAAACAATATTACAAGTGACCGATGTAGTAAATTCGAATAAAAGTTACGCTTCGATTTGACTCTCAGATATGAAGTGAACACCCCAAATATACTATTTAGCGCCAAAAAAAAATTACTTTTTAAAACTCCAATGTAAGCAGCAGATTAGCAGCAAAACAATTAGAATGTTTACCACTGTGCAGTAAGCGCACTATTTGACGCTTCTATTTGACTCTCAGATATGAAGTGCACCGCAGGCCCCAAAATTTACTATTTAGCAGATTAGCAGCAAAACAATTAGAATGTTTACAAGTGCGCAGTAAGCACACTATTGGACGCTTCGATTTGACTCTCAGATATAAAGAACAGGCCCCAAAATGTACTATTTAGCAGATTAGCACCCAGAAAATAAGAATGTTTACCACTGCGCAGTAAGCGCACTATTTGACGCTTCTATTTGACTCTCAGGTATGAAGAACAGGTCCCAGGTCCCAAGAACAGAGCAGTTTAGCACCAAAACAATTAGAATGTTTACAATTGCGCTGTAACCACAGTATTAGACACTTCTATTTTACTCTAAGATATGAAGAGCAGGCCACAAAATGTACTATTTAGCAGATTAGCACCCAGAAAATATGAATGTTTACCACTGCACTGTAAGCACACTATTAGATGCTTCGATTTAACTCAAATATGAAGTGCACGCCCCAAGATGTACTATTTAGCAGATTAGCACCCCGAAAATTGGAATTTTTACAAGTGCGCTGTAAGAACACTATTAGACGCTTCTATTTGACTCTCAGCTATGAAGAGCAGGCCACAAAATGTACTATTTAGCAGTTTAGCACCAAAGCAATTAGAATGTTTACAATTGCGCTGTAACCGCACTATTAGACGCTTCTATTTGACTCTCAGATATGAAGTGCATGCCCCAAAATGTACTATTTAGCAGATTAGCACCCAGAAAATAAGAATGTTTACCACTGCGCTGTAAGCACACTATAAACGCTTCTGTTTGACTCTCAGATATGAAGTGCAGTCCGCAAATGTACTATTTAGTAGATTAGCACCCAACAAATTAAAAGTTTTAAAACTGCAATGTGACAGCAGTATTTGACGATTCTATTTGACTCTCAGTTATGAAGTGCACCCCACTAATGTACTATTCAGCACCCCCAAAAAATTACTTTTTAAAACTCCGATGTAACCTCGGTATTTGAAGCTTCTATTTAACTCTCAGATATGAAGTGCACCCCACCCCACTAATGTACTAGTTTGCAGAATTCTTTCATAAGCTGTCCCTATCAGCGGCAGCATCCTCTCCCTACACTAATAAGACCGCATGTGCGTGCAACACTACGCAACTCCAGCTTATATATAGAGGCTGGGTCACATGCTGCACTGGCCAATCACAGCCATGCCATTAGTAGGCATGGCTGTGATGGCTTCTAAGGGCACACGATTCAAACGGTTGTTGATTTGCTGCTCTGCAGCCTTTGAAAATGAGCCATTAAATCGCCGAACACCGAACTCCAACCCGAACATACAGTGATGTGTCCATGTTTGGGTCCGGGGTCCAAAAAACCTAATGTTCGGTACGAACCCGAACTTTTCGGTTCGGGTTCGCTCAACTCTATTTGTTAATACAGCTTTTCTATTCTTCAATAATTGTGAATTGTCATCCTTCTCAAAGTTCCCTCTAAATCACAAGATCTTAAATTATATATTTCACCAATATCCATGTATTTACTGAAACACTTCTATTGTTTTGTCACAGTAAACTTCAACGTCATTGCACCTTCAGTTAGCAATGCAACAATTGGTTCTACAGCAGTATTGCATTGTGATCTTGACCCTGCAACCAATGCTGAAAATATGGAAATAAGGTGGTACAAATCAAAGCCAATTCCTTACGTGCATCTTTACGTTAAAGGAACTAATGAAGTTACTGAACAGATGCCAGAATTTCAAGGAAGAACAGAACTCAACATTGAGCACTTTGGAAAAACTAGGATTTTTCTTCACATTCATAATGTGAGGCCCTCTGATGAAGGAGATTACAATTGTTTCTTTGCCTCAGATTCCTTTTATAACGGTGCTATTCAGAGATTGGAGGTGGCAGGTTAGTAAACAGATATGCCATTCAAATGCAAATGTATACACAATATGTAATATAACAAAGTGAATTTGAAATAAAACAAAAACAAGAACTACAAACAGCATTAGCACTTTAAGGTTATTCACTATTTCATAAATTGTTGGAAATTCAACTAATTAATTACATATTAAATGCCAAAAGTCCTCTTCTGCTTATTACGATTAACTCTCACTGTGTCATTTATGGAGCATATGTGACTTTTTCCTGGGTCTATCGTATTAGGGGATCTGTGGACTTGGTACCCAGCCACCTTCATTGTGCATGTTAGTCCAGGATGATCCTCTGCAAATGTTCCTCCTCAGATAGCTAGTTTATGGAAACCAACCTTTAGAGGAGTTAAACTGTTTATGAAGAAAAAAAAGATTATATAGCATGAGAGGTTTAAAAAGAGGATTGTAAATGGAATTCCAAAAAGATTCATACTCTATAAAAAAACCCACTTAAAAATATTTTTTTATATTTTCTTAGTATATGTAGCCAAAATAATGAATAGAATATTTTTTTTTTTGTCTATGAGTATTTATATATATTAGAAGTAAAAAAAATGCAGCAATTAGAAAATCCCAACATAAAGCACCTTGACTCCAGCAGATGGTGCCACTCGACCAGTAAACTCAAACTAGGCCAGAAATGAGAAAATATAGGTAGAGAAAGGGACAGAAAAAAGGTGTCCAATGTACTTTCAACTAATAGGCACTTATTTGCATCACTCCCAAGGAATCCAAGTACCATAAACACTTTAATCAGTTGACATGG